TAGATTGACAGATACAGGCATGCATGTTTACACTGCGTACAGGATGCCCTTAAAAATATAAAGAAAAATCTAAGGTGCTGGTATTATGAATAGGATGCTGACACTGAATGAGAGAGAGAGAGAGCTCTTTCAATTATATTTTTTTCTTTTTCATAAAAGTCTTTCCCCTCAATCATTTATTGCCAAGTGTCTGTTAAAAGGAAAATTCTGTTTGGATTCACATTGACTTGCGAAAAGATCGTCCTTCCTCTTACCTCCACAACATCCTCCCCCAGTTTTTGTTATCTTCAAGAGCAACGACAGGAGAAAAGTGGGGTTATTTACTCTTAAACAATTTGATAGAACACTTCAAAATCGTGCCCACAAGATAAACCTTACATCCTGCTAAACAGCTAGTGTCTTTTTTTTTTCTTTTAAATCCAACGTCTTAAATGTTAAATTGGTGTAGTCAGTTTTTTTTTTGGAGTTTTTTTTAAATGCTAATAGTGAGATTAGTCATTCCCATACAGGAAACATTTGAACATCACCAACAGTTAACATTACTGACAATTGAAATACATAAAATCTTTTTTCTTAAATATTTTTCATAAAAAAAAAAAAAAAATAGACTATTTACATTGTTTGGACTGTTGTACTCATCTTTATTGTCATAATCACAACGTTTCATCCGCTGTACACTTTGTCCTTCTTCAGATGATTGCAATTTCTAAATGACCCTTTATTTAATAATCTGCCCTGTTGGACAAAATAAAGGGTTTAGTTCGAAATTCCAATTATCTGAAGAAGGCTGGATTGTACAACTGCCAAAATGTCATAAGGCAATAAAGATGAGGACAATAGTCTGAACAATGTAAATAATTACAATATCTCATTTCAGAAACATAGATAAAAATAGACTTGTCAAGTTCACTATTATTGCTCTCTGGTTTGGTTTGGTTTATTTTGTGGCACATTTATACTTTCATAGTGTTTTGAACCCAGTTTGTGGGTTAACTATTTGCCCATCACTCTCTCCCTTGTGGTGTCTTGTTATTCCACTTGACTCATGAAGGTAAGCTTTCAAGAGATTATATATATATATATAAAAAAATTTTGCTTGAAGATGGAACAGAACTTAGTACTTTAATTCAATTCAAATAATTATATTGAAGTTTTCGGGTCTTGTTTTGAAACATGAGAACTCTTATGTAGCAATGGAATCATATTTTAAAATAAATAATTAGGCATATATATATATAATTATTTATTTAAAAATCTGATTCCAAATAAATAATTATATTTATGCTCTACTTTTGTATCGAACACTATTTTTTAAAAATAATAACTAAAATACTAAGGGACTTTGGATTATTTACCTAACCAGTTCCTTCCTATATTATATATATATATATATATATATATATATATATATATATATATATATATATATATATATATATGTTTATTTATATATTATATATGTGCAGTACTTATTGGAAGAGTTCAATATCAGTGACAGAGCTAATATACTTAGTTGCATTGATGTGAGTTTGTGACAATGGGTTTCATGGATGAATGATTGCAAGGGAATGAAACCCAAGGTCACAAACTCACATCAATAAAAAAGTGTGTGTGTGTGTGTATATATATATATATATATATATATATATATATAAAATTCTAGTGAACCAGAAGTTATCCGGGATTGGACCATAAATTGCCAAGAGGAGTCGCAATGTGTGGTCAGGAGGATGGGAAAAAATTGTAGCTAACAGAAGGTACACAAGTTGCTATCCGATCAGTCTCGGCTGGGTCACTGTGGAGAGGGGGTATGATGTTGAAAGACCCGAAACCCCTAATGAACCTCGACTAGAAACATCACTGATGACGTGTAACAAATCATCCAATACATGTATTTTATGATTATATATATATATATATATATATATATATATATATATAAATCAGTATCATTACGACACATGGGTTTACTGGGTGTGCAAGAATTAAGAACAGAAACATTAATAATGAGTGGGAAGATGAAAGAGTAATCAGGAGGAGAGTAGATGGCGATTGACATTGCATTTATATATTTGAAGATTAAAGTTGGCTGGAAAGCATGTAGCCGGAAGGGAATTCCACAAGCAAGGGAGTAATGCCACTAAGACTCAAGGGGGTTACTGGGTGTTGAAGAATTAGGAACAGAAACATTAATAATGAGCGGGAAGAGGAATGAGTAATCAGGAGGAGAGTAGATAGCGATTGACATTGCATTTAAATATTTGAAGATTGAAGTTGGCTGGAAAGCATGGAGCCAGACTGTTCCTAATTAAACTGATTATCGGCAGTAATAAATGAAAAAAATCTGAAACTAGCCAATAGAAAGGGATTTGTCTTCCATCAGGACAACACCAGACCTCACAGACCTACCAAACTGGCAGAAGTTGATAACAGTTGACTAGCACATCCTTTTACACTCAGCTGACGTTGTACCTTTGAATTACTGCTTATTTCCATCCTCACAAAATTCTTAGTATCAAGAACTTTAATTCTTTGAAAGATTGTAAAAAAGGCCATTCAATGCCCAGAAAGATGCCAAGCTGTGAGAGGATTTAATCATTAGGTAGCCTCAAAGATGGCAAAATAACATGTGGTTGAATAAATCTAGATTGTCTTTGAAATTCACTTAAACACTATGAAATTTTGAAACAATGAATATGGATACAGAATACTTGTTAAGAATTTTTTTAATCATTTCATCCTGTTGTAACCTAGAAAAAGGTTACTGAATAAGACAAATCAAAACGAATGTTTGAAATGAACGATAATATTTATAACAGGGACAACATACAATATTTGCCAGTGGCATGTAGTAAGTAATCAACTGCTAGTGGTGAGCTAGAAGTGAATCAAGGTGAATTGCAAGTGGAAGACAACATACAGTATATACCTATGTATTTATAGGAATTGAGACATGATTGGCAAAAATAGCCAAATATGGGGTGCACAGCATTTCTGATCTGCTCTTATCTTGT